CCGAAATCATTTGTCGATATGATAGCTAGAAATCTGGCACAAACAAATTTGAATTTTTGTTTAATCTAAAAGCATAAATCTTCGTGAGGATTTGGATGAGTTTTTTCCTCAAAAATGTGTACAACTCAAGAAACTGGTAAATTCCCTTTCGGAAATAAAAATAGAAACTCCATTGGAATTAGTATAAGTTTTATACGAAAATAAATTAATATCTTCATTTCCGAATATTAATAATTGTCTGCAAATTTTTTTTATAATGGTTTCAAATGCAAGTGGTGAACGATCTTTTTCTGCTCTAAAAAGGGTAAAGAACTACCTAAGAAATACAATTCCCCAAGAAAAATTTAACTCCTTAGCAATTCTGTCCATTTCTTAAGACCTGCTAGATGAAATAAATGTAAAGTGTTATAAAACAATTTGCTACTTTAAAGACTTGAAAACAACCTTTTAATTATTAGTATTAGGATTTCTCAATACTTATTTAAACCAAAGAATAATGTTTTATCTATTTATAACTTTTGATTAGTTTTTCTTAGTACTTAGTATTGTTTATATAAACCAAAGAATGTTTTATTTTTTAGTTAGTGCTTTTGATTAGTTTTTATAATTTGTTTATAAAGGCTCATTTTATATTTTATAGGATACTAAGTTTACTGTTAGATACCAGCCTAACCAACCTAATCTTCCACTTGACGTGAGAAAGTAAAACTTAAAAATTTAAAAATGTTTTTAAAAAAGTAATATTTTAAAGTATTGGGCGTTGTGTTTTTGCCAGAACCGGGCGGCGAACTAACTTAAACCGGCACTGATTGGGATACCTAAAAATTAACTTTGCTTTAAAAGAAATAATAATAAATAAAAACCTAGTATTGCCATTTGAGCAATTAATTTGCTTCCTGCCGATATTTTCACACCACACAAACAATTTCGCCAATTCTGCTATCTTCCATATTTACAGGCAATGAGGAGAATCCCGGATTAGTATATTATTTTTACGTACTTTCGACCTACGCCACGAGTCCCTACCATTTGGCAACATCGCTGGGTCTCGGGACGTTGGTTGAATATGGTTATGCAGTATAAACGGGCGCGAGAAGTCGGTAAAATGTAGCGGGTTTAAAAAGTGTTATTCAGTTTGCAACTTTTTTTGTAAAAAGAAAATGTTTCCCCTTGAAGCATGCTTATTGAGTTATTCTTTAAAAGCTTATTTACGGTTTATATACTCGCCTAAATTACCTAGATCAAGTGGGTCTTAGGTAGCCTGTATAGTGTACCGGGACTGAAAACGTGGACCGGATAGATATATATATATATATATATATAAATGTTTAAGGAAGCAGGCACATGCCTTTGTGTTTTGCAAGGAAGGGACGGGTGGACGAAGGAAAGGCAGGAGCGACGCAGAGGCCGTGGCGGACAGACCAGCCATCCACCACTACCTGAGCCCAGTCTTCAACGACGCACATTCAGTTGTGCTGCAAAGTACCTTATACCTTTGCATTGGCCAAGGAAACATTGAGGAGAGTGGCAAACCACATACAGGAAAATGTCCAAGTACTAAAACTACTTAAATCTAATTAAAATAACTAAAACTATACTAGAGTAGATCCCCATGGCTGGGGCGAGCCGCCGGCCCAGACACCAAGGCACGTAGCGGCACGAAGTGACGTCGCGGTCCCCGGTGCCAATGCCGACGGACCGCCACTAAGTCATGGGGTAGGGAAGACCATGAAACACGCGAGGTGGTCTGGCCTGCCGACAGCAGCCCAGACACCATAAGCAGACGCGAGCGCAAGGCGTCGTTGTCTCTGTCGGCAGTCGCATGTAGGGCAGTTAGGGCTGTCAATGCTTACAACCAAGTGGAAGTGACGCCGAAATCTTCCATGGCCAGTAAGGACAGAGGACAGAGGCCTTGTGGATGGTATATTAAGTGTCTGTCTGATCGCCAATGAAGGAATGAATGAGTATGTTGTGCGGCCTTTGGGATACGTGTCCCACGTTGTCTGCCATGCGTTCAAGCTGGCCTGGTCGAGAATGAGCTTGGCTTCACTCAAGCTAGGATATTCATTTGGATCCATCCAATGTATGTCCAGGTGGTGGACTGGATTTCTTTTCCTTAGGCCAATGGGTTTGATGTTGGCTAGGACGCCTGCGGCTTCCGCCGAGACGTCGCTGTAGCAACCGGTGATCGTGCGGGCGCATAGCGCTCTGCAAGAATTCAGAAATCTGTCAGCTCTTTGGTAGTGACACTTGTCTTTCCAAACGTTAAATGAATATCCCACTATTGGGACGACGGCCATGTTGTAGATGGAAGTGAGGCCATCCGAAGGAGGAACCCAGGCTTTCGCCAAGTGCCTACGCAGGTTTGCGAGTATGCTCTTGGCTTTTAGGCTAACAAGTTTTATATGCTCCTGGAAGTTGAGGTGCGAGTCTAAAGTGACGACTAGGTATTTAGCCGATGTTAGTCCTCGGATGTGGCTTCCATTTATGCGTATTGTAGGCCTCCTGACACATTTTCCACTAAACACGACATAGTTGCATTTGTCTATAGATAAGCTAAGTTTATTGTCCGCCAGCCACGAGCTGACCCTCGAAAGGGCGCAGTTGGTATATTGTTCAGTTTGTGCGCGGTTACCCGGGCTGATGGATATAGCAATGTCGTCTGCATATGCATACGTTTTAGTGTTCGCACCCAATGGGATACGAAGGAGACAATCGAGGGCGGCGTTCCACAACAAGGGCCCCAGGACAGAGCCCTGGGGGCAGCCTCTGGTTAGGATTTTTAAAACCCTAGCAGGGCCCAGCTCGAAGCTGGTGACTCGGTTGTTTAAATAGCTTTTAATTAAGTTTATTGTGTCAAAGGATATTCCTTTGTTAGTCAGCGAGCTTATGACCGTAGGCCACCACAAGTTGTCGAACGCCCCCTTGATGTCTAGGAAGCAAGTTAGTTTAAACTTGGAAATGTCAGATTTCAGGTGATCAGTGAGATCCGTAATAGCATCGGTCGCTGAGCGGCCCTCCCTAAAGCCGTACTGATTGGAGTGATGGAAGGATGATTCCTGTCGCTCGGCGAATAGGTTCCTTTTCACGATTCTTTCGAGCAGCTTGCCCAGCACCGGCAGAAGGGTGATGGGTCTGGTACCCTTGAGTGAGTTGGACGAAGGGAAGGAGCCTCCTTTAGGAATGAGTACTAGCTTACCAATTTTCCAGGTCTTGGGAAAATAGCCGAACCTGATGCAGTCGTTAATAAGTCTGCTGGTGTAGTTCGCAATAGCAGGTCCTACCACTCGTAGAACGACAGGATACACGCCGTCAGGGCCAGGAGCCTTTTTGGTGTTAACATGAGTTTCGTCTTCAGTAACGTATAGAGGTTCAGTCACCGGAATGGAGCCAGAAAGGAGATCCGTGGTTTCTCTAAAGTGGGCCTGGAAGAAATTATCCGTTCCAGGATCATCGTCCGTGATAAAATTATCTAAGACGGCGTTTGCGGTGTCAAAAAAGTTGTTGGTAAGTGATCCGTCTTGTTTGCGGATGCAAGAGATAAGCGGTCTTTGCAGACCGCCGGCTTTAGAGAGCTTGTAAGGCAAGCTCCACGGGTTCCTTTCCAGCTCCTCAACCACGTAGCTGCTCCACGAAGTAGAGCGAGCCTTGTTGATGTGTTTTTTGAATTCTCCAACAGTGTTTTGATAGATTACACTGAGCGCGCCCTTAAGGGGCTCGGCCGCTCTTTGGAAGGCTTTCCGCTGTTTGTTAATTCTGGCCCTTAGAACGTCCAGCTTGTCGCTCCACTGGGTTTGTTGGTAAAGCGTTTGTGCTTTTTCAAAAATCTGTCGCCAATGGAGGCGAGCAGAGATGTAAGGTTATTGACCCTTTCGTCAATGGCCAACGTGCCTGGAGACCAAGCATGGGACTCGAGGGCATATATCCCACGTATAGCCTGGTCTATCGCCGAGTTCGCGTCGATCCCACTCAAGGATCTTTTCCATGTGAAGGCGTTGTGTATTGCTGGGTCAGGGACCCTAATCGTTAGGGATATAGCCCTGTGATCGCTTGGGCAAGTGTCCGCGGAGACCACCCAGCCTGAGATCAGGTTCAGCAGGGCGACAGAACATAAAGTTACGTCTATATTGCTCTCCCCCAAGGGGGAGCTGTACGTTGTGAGATCAGATGGAGTGTTTAAGACGTGTAAGTTGTTCTCGAGAACAAAATTCTCCACAATATCGCCGCGGTGATCCAGCTGGTCCGAGAACCAGACCGGATTCTTGGCGTTTGCGTCCATGCCGATTAATACTGGAAGGTCGAAATCACATATGTTGTTCGTGACCAGCTCCATCTGTTCGCAGAGCTCCCCCTAGAGGGGCAGTAGATGCTGAATAGGGCAAAGGACAGACCGCCACACTCAAGTATGGCGGAGACCACGGTGTCTGTGTTGATGCAGGCAGTCGGAATTATGTGTGCAAGCGGGTTAAGTACCACGATGCACGACCTGAAGGCGTCTCCAGAGGCGGAGATTACCCTAAAGTGGCCAATGTTAGGGATCACGAATTTATTGGAAATTCTTGAGAATGTGCAATATGGCTCCTGTACAAGAACCACATCTTTATCCTTAATATAAGGAGAGTTAAAAAAGGATTGAGTTGCAGTTATTGAATGGTGTAAGTTTATATGGCAGATGTTTATTTTCCTAATTTTCAGGCCCGTAGTCGGTGTCCTCAATTAATGCCTTAACTCTCCTTGCATAGGATGCACACTTCTCAGATCCGGGTACGTGGTTGAGCTCACTTAGTCCTCTAACATTAGAGCAAGAGGCGCACTTTAGTTTAGCTGGACGTCTTTGTCCGGGCAGTCCTTTACGTCGTGCATCTCGGCACAGTGACCGCACTTGGTCGCCTCCGCCTGGCACTTGGCCAATGTGTTTCCGAACTAAAAGCACTTATGGCAGATGGTAACCCTGGTTCTGTCCTCCACCCTACAATTTTGCCAGCCTATGCCTAGGTATTTTAGTGATAGCAAGAAAGCCTGAGGGCAGGAGTGACCTCCACGGCCCAGTGCACAAGCTTCTGACCCCTCGGGCCAAACTTATGCACCGGGTTTATGTCCTCTGTATTGAATGTTTCGACGTTATTTTGGTCGATTATTGCCTTCGCTAGGTTCTCCTTCGTTAAGAACGAGGGAACACCAAAGATAGACAATCTCGGAAGTCTCTTTTTTGGTGAAGATGCCTTAAGCTTTAGGGAGGCCCACTCAGGGAAATCCAATAGCTTGTTTACATTGGAGTCGTGAGATTCAATCACGACTCCCTTGTTTCTTGCGTAATAGACTTTAGATGGCGCGAAGCCAATGGTTACAGGGTTAATTTTGGCAAGAATGCTGTCCTTGACAGCCTCGGAAGACGCAAATTCCTCGGGATTGACAGGGGATATTTCCACCTTGTGGATAGCCTTCATGGAAGCAGATTTCTTGCCAACTATCTTAACCCTGGAAATGCTCGAGGCGATGTTAGCGTATTATGCCGCAGGAGTTGCGGCTGGAATGGGTGGCTCGGAAGTCAATTTGGCCGACAACTTCGTGATTTTCTTAACTGTAGAATTTAAGGCCTTGAAGAGAGTTTGAGTACTCTCGACGGCCTTAACAGATTTATTAAGGTTAGAACAGTCAGTTTTTAACTGGGTGAGAATAGCTGCAATAGTGCGGACAAGGTGTAGTTAATAAATCGAGACTGACAATATAAACTAAACACAGTGACAAACGAGCAGAAGAATAATAATACTTTTAATATTAAACGTTTTAGGCAAGAACCAGTAAACAAGAACATATGGCTTAGTGAACCATTAAATCGTTAAACCATGACAAATTATGGTCCAATGACTTTTAAAATATTTTAATGAAAATGATTTGTATAAATTAAATCATAGATTTTATAATAAACAATATTTTAAGTTTAATTTTTGTATTACAAAGAATAGTAGTTATTGATAAGTCACGTTTACATTTCTTACAAAAAAACCCACAATATTATAAAAACAGATTAGTTAACATCAGTTTGTTGTTTTTTAATTTGGTTGTCCTTAAAGTCTAATTTTTTTATTACAATGAATAGTAGTTATTGATAAATCATTTTTTCGTTTCTTACAAAAAACCTTTACGTCTTAAATATTACAACTTTGGTGTTGGGGAATATTTCTAATATTTGTTTAATATTAAAAAAATATTATTAAACATAAATGTTGTGAGGGTTATATATAATTCAAAAAAATTGTATAATTATAAATAAATATGTTTTAAATATATAATAAAATATTGTAATACTTACCAAATTTGTAGAAAAAAATTAATAATTAGTCTCGATTTATTTACTACAAAGAATAGCAGTTATTGATAAGTCACGTTTACATTTCTTACAAAAACCCACACTGTTATAAAAATCAGATTAGTTAACAGAAGTTTGTTGTTTGTTAATTTGGTTGTCGTTCTGATTTTTTTACTACAATTAAATTAATTGAATTAATAGTAGTCATTGATAAATCACGTTTACGTTTCTTACAAAAAACCTTTACTTCTTGAATATTACAGGACATTTTTGGTAGGCTTGTTACCTACTATATTTGTTTGAGTTTTATTATTGAAAGGTAAAGTTTTTTCAGAATCTCTTTGAATGATCTTCTAACACTTTAGATGAAGTGTCCATTAGTTTGTTTCTGACTTTTACTTCCTTTATTCAAATTTCTCTTAAGTACTAAGTCACCTTCAAAAATATATGACCAGTAAGAATTTGAAGCAGAAAGCAAGGAATTTCCATCTAACCATAGAAATATGCTGCACAATATTTCCACTGGCAAATAAGGTATACAATATAAACTAAACAAAGTGACAAACGAGCAGAAAAATAAAAGGTAATACTTTTAATATTAAACGTTTTATATATAGGCAAGAACCAGTGAACAAGAACATGTGGCTTAGTGAACCATGAAATCGTTAAACCATGACAAATTATGGTCCAATGACTTTTAAAATATTTTAATGCAAATAATTTGTATAAATTAAATAATAGATTTTATAATAAACAATATTTTAAGTCTGATTTTTTTACTGCAAAAAATAGTAGTTATTAATAAGTCACGTTTACATTTTTCATAAAAAACCCACACTGTTATTAAAACAAATTAGTTACCATCAGTTTGTTTTTTTTTTAATTTGGTTGTCCTTAAAGTCTGATTTTTTTACTACAATGAATAGAAGTTATTGATAAATTCCTTTTTTTTTCTTACTAAAAACCTTTACTTCTTAAATATTACAACTTTGGCGTTGGGGAATATTTCTAATATTTGTTTAATATTAAAAAAATATTATTAAACTTAAATGTTGTAAAGGTTATATATAATTCAAAAAAATTGTATAATTATAAATAAATATGTTTTAATTATATAATAAAATATTGTAATACTTACCAAATTTGTATAAAAAAAATAATAATTAGTCTCGATTTATTTACTACAAAGAATATAAGTTATTGATAAGTCACGTTTACATTTCTTACAAAAAACCCACACTGTTATAAAAATCAGATTACCTAGTTAACAGAAGTTTGTTGTTTGTTAATTTGGTTGTCGTTACATTCTGATTTTTTTACTACAATTAATAGTAGTCATTGATAAATCACGTTTACGTTTCTTACAAAAAACCTCTACTTCTTGAATATTACAGGACATTTTTGGTAGGCTTGTTACCATATTTGTTTGAGGTTTATTATTAAAAGGTAAAGTTTTTTCAGAATCTCTTTTCTGAATGGTCTTGTAACACTTTAGATAAAGTGTCCATTAGTTTGTTTCTGACTTTTACTTTCTTTTTTTAAATTTCTATTAAGTACTAAGTCACCTTGAAAAATATATGACCAGTAAGAATAAGATTTTGAAGCAGAAAGCAAGGAATTTCCATCGAAATATGCTGCACCATATTTCCACTGGTAAATAATGTATACAATATAAACTAAACAAAGTGACAAACAAGCAGAAGAATAATAATAATTTTAATATTAAACGTTTTATATACAGTGCTTGCAAATGCAAGTCCGACCGCACTGGAAAGGACGGCTGTTCAATACCCGCGTGAAAAGAACAAGGATAGAACGCCAAATAGAATTTGATTGGCCAGAGCCCCGGATGCGTGCGAATTGTAAGCGAGGTCAACTCTGGGCCAGAGTCTCTGGCTGCATTTAGACTAATGATTTAGTGTTAAGCAAACTGCGTTGGAGTGGAGATGCACATTTTAATTTTCTTTTTAAATATTTTATACCCGAATCCTAAAAATAAAATGTTTTGATTTTTTTCCTTGAGAACTAGGGCAACAACAAAAATAGTATTCTTAATAAAAAAGATTTCTCAAATAAAAATAACTAAAAATAAAACTCTAAATAAAAATATAGACCAGTGCAGAAGCCTTTAAAAATAGTAAAAAGAGAAAAAAAATAACAGTAGGATGAAACCCATTGGAAAAGGAGGGGAATATAATAAAAATTAAAGGAAAAATAAATTACGGGCGATCTGAGTTCGGGAAGTGAGAGGGGGGGGTTTTAAGGGTAAAAAATGGTTTATCTCGATTTCCGGCAAAACTACAAGTCCTATGGAAAAAAGTTAAATGTCAAAGTTGTAGGTAATAAAAAGATCTACAACTTCTGTATTTACAATTTTTTCACATAACCTCAAAATTTATGTGAAAAAATTAAAAAACCAAGTTTTTGGTTTTTTATTTTTATCTTTTTCAAAAAAAAATTTTCTTCCATGAAATTTGGTGAAAACTTACCTTTTTATGTCCCAAATACACTGTAATTTATTTGATTTGAAATATTTATTATTTCGCCTTATTTTGACTTAATATCAAAAAAGCACCCTAATTTTCAATCGAAAATTCTCGCGTGAAAATATCAGCTTTTTTCAAAAAGTCGTTGTGCTTTTTGTTCGATGAACTCTCTACTTTCTGATGGTGTAAAAAAATATACATTACTATGGTAAATGTTCTCAGAAAATACAAAAAATATTATAATGAATAACGTAATCAGAATGAGGTATCTAAATTCAATAGTATGATTTACATGTATTTTTATATTTTATGAGATTTTCTGACATAAATGTTATAAGAATTTAATAAATAAACTTTTTAACTAAAAAAAATTGCAACCATCACATTTTTTTGATGAAATTGTACATAATGATTAAAATAAATTTTCGAATTCGAGTTTTTTTCGTTATTCATTATAATATTTTTTGCATTTTCTGAGAACATTTACCATAGTAATGTATATTTTTTTACACCATCAGAAAGTAGAGATTTCAACAAACAAAAAGCACACCGACTTTTTGAAAAAAGCTGATATTTTGACGCGAGAATTTTCGATTGAAAATTAGGGTGCTTTTTTGATATTAAGTCAAAATAAGGCGAAATAATAAATATTTCAAATCAAATAAATTAAATTGTATTTGGGACATAAAAAGGTAAGTTTTCACCAAATTTCGTGGAAAAAAATTTTTTTTTGAAAAAGATAAAAATAAAAAACCAAAAACTTGGTTTTTTGAATTTTTCCCATAAATTTGGAGGTTATGTAAAAAAATTGTAATTACAAAAGTTGTAGATCCTTTTATTACCTACAACTTTGCCATTTAACTTTTTTCCATAGGACTTGTAGTTTTACCGGAAATCGAGATAAACCATTTTTTACCCTTAAAACCCCCCCTCCCACTTCCCAAAGTCAGATCGCCCGTAATTTATTTTTCCTTTTATTTTTATTATATTCTTCTCCTTTTCCAATGGGTTTCATCCTACTTTTATTTTTTTTGGTTTCAAAAATTATCGACCCTGGTCTAATAAAACTCTAAAAATAAATAAACTGAAAAATTAAATTAAATGTTCGAACAAGCAATTATTAACGATTCGTCGAATTGTTTCTCTGTTTGGTCTGGCCTCGAACATTCCCGCAAATAATCTTTGAATTTCTCGTTCAGAATTACCAGCAAAATGCCAGATTAAAATCTGAACTTTTTGTTCCAACGTGTACCTACATTTTTTAATTAAATAATCTTTTTTACTAAAATTACTACCTCTTGGCAAGAGGCTCTTGCTGGCACCACTGCAGTTCTCGTTCTAATATCCTCGTGTCAAGCACGCTGCGAGGTGCGCGATGGGTATGCGTTGTCGTAGCCTGCCGGCTGGCCAATCAAATTCTATTTGGCGTTCTATCCTTGTTCTTTTCACGCGGGTATTGAACAGCCGTCCTTTCCTGTGTGGTCGGACTTGGATTTGCAAGCACTGTATAGGCAAGAGCCAGTGAACAAGAACATGTGGATTAGTGAACCATGAAATCGTTAAACCCTGACTAATTATGGTCCAATGACTTTTAAAATATTTTTATGCAAATAATTTGTATAAATTAAATCATGGATTTTATAATAAACAA